AAGATATTACTTTATTGATCCCAATTTGGGAAATGTTTGTCTTGCAGCAGCATAACAAGAAAAACAAAATATAAGTTATTATATATACAAAAAAGTATGTGAGGGATGGAATATTACATTGAATATAAATGTAAAATGTACATGTGATTTTACGTCCAAGAGAAGCTATGGAGCAGAGAGTTCTCTGCCAGCCAGAGGTGATTTGTTATTAGTTCAATATGTCAAACTGATTTCCCTGACTACAATCTTTAGTTACATGGTGAAACGTTATGCTGCTTTACTAATTAGACTTATCATATAAGCCACACAGGTTTTAATAGGATGTATTCATTATCTTTACTTATGTTGCGGTCTTTTCAGCAGCACCATTTCTAAAATGGCGATACAGTCACTACCCATCATTTACATTTCACCGTGACATGGACAAAAATGTAACGTCAGCTTACCTCATGGCGCGAATCCAGACTCTCCTTTGGAAAACATTGGCCGGGAAACGATAGAACAAGCACGTTTCATGCGAAGACCTGTGGCTGCAACCCGGAGCAAAGCAACAAACCATTGCGTAGCTAACTAGTAGCGCTAGCTTTAGCTAACGTTAGCTAACGAAACTAACTGCCGAGTAAAATTGGAAAACACTGGTAATTAATTATTCTATAATTTGTAAAACTACGGTGTTAAAAACGACAATTTCAAAAATACAGATTCTAATGGTCAGATATAGATATACAGATACTAAAGATAGGCATGTACTTGCTTTCAAGCAGAACACAGGGGAAAACAAACTTAGCGGGAGTGTTTACGTATTCGGCGTAATGACGTACAACGGCCTCGACAATTTCTGTAGTCCTATTCAGCCACTCGGTAACAACCATGACACGTAAACTCTTCAAAAATCACCAGTGGGGTCACTGCTGATGTATTTAATGTCGTAGAACAAAACGTCAATTACCTCTTAAATTTGTGTCAAGTGTCGAGACGTCGAGACCGTACAGATGTGTGCTGAGGTGTGGTGACAATAGTTTACAAATCATCTGGGAGGCGTATTCGGACATAAAGTTTTGATCTTCCTACTTGAGAACCTTTCGACGACGTTTTTGTACGTCATACATTATATGTTATACGGTCTTGGCTGGTTTTTTTTCGAAAATATAAAATTAGGTGGAAGAGTAACTACATTTACACATTTGTAAATCGCTATAACAGTCGGATAAATTGGTTTAATTAGAATATCATATGGTACGAGGACGGTCAGAATTGTAAAAGGTCTGATCAAGTAAGTGCACAAATCAGTCGTGTCTTTCGAAGACTAAAACAGGTTATAGGTCTCAGTTCTGATGACTAAAATGTATGTTAGTCTTTACAAGAGTAAGTGTAGGTTTTATTAAATACCACCGGTAACAGTGTATGTTTTTTCGATTCTAATCTTCTTCTGTCACTAGCTGTACTTGTTAATCTGATTCGAACGATCTATCGATATTGACACATACGTTCGTCTCCCTTTATCAATTTACGTATCGATCATTCATATAACTACTACTTTACGCGTCAACCGTTCGGCCGTCGTCATCCGCGGATCGCCGTGAATCGGTGGAGAAGGGTGAAGGGAGAGAGAGAGAAGAAACAGTATTATTAATTTTTATAAAGTGTTTAATAAAAATAGTAATCAATAACATTACTTGTCCGTTTGCTATTATATCAAGTATGAGTCATTTTACCTTATTATATGTTATTTTAGACCCAAATTTAACAAAATGCTACCAATTTCAAGACTATTCAGTGTACAAGGACAGACCGTTGTCGCACATAGTACATGAAGAGAGCAGGCAGCATTTTTCCTACGGAAGTCGGGTCTCGTCTTTGTCGGTTGTTCGACTGACACTGGATAGACATATGATACGCAGCTTTGTTATTAACGTCGGTTAGTCGCAGCAGTCTAACTACTTGGCGTCACTGCGCAGCATTTTGGGCCTTATTCAATCGTAAAAATCGTGAAGGCCAAGGAAGGAGTTTTTCGTTACGTAAAAAAGGTATCCCAAAAACCTTTTATCGAGCTTTAT